ATATTGTGCTTTGTTTAGTTGTCTATTTATGCTGGCCTTCTGCCAGTAGCAATAAATCATCAAGTCTGAGCCTCATTTTTCTGGACCCTCTTTGCTCCTTGATCCAATCTTTGGTGCCCTCAAGATTGTCCCCTTCTTTGCCTCAAACTCTCAACTTGAAATCCTGAAACATGCTGCATGTCAACTGCAGGCAGTTGATCAAGTTTGTTTTGCAGTGTATAACCCCAAACAATGATTCAAGTAGGCAAATTCTAACCAATAATCACTGAATTGGATAAATATCTGCTTCACAAGAATTCTTTCAAAATTATATTTACCTTCTAGCCGTGAGGGATACCCTCTTGGCAAGCAGGCACAGTACCTGCTGGATATGAACCCTCTTGGCAAACATGCACAGACCTGCTGGCAATGAGGGATACCCTCTTTGCAAATAGGTAAAGTGCCCGCTAGCTGTGTTACCAATAGGGTATTCTCATGGCTAGCAGGTGCTATGCCTGCTTTCCAAATGAGAATCCATCTAACTAATCCTGCTTGCCAAGAGGGAATCCCTCTTGGCAAGAAGGTGCTGTACCTGCTTGCTGAGAGGGAATCTCTCTTGGCAAAAAGGTCCTTTGACTGCTTGCATTTACTCCAGTTGAACGGATGTAGTTCCTTCCGGCTGAGGGATCCCCTTTCATGTGAACAGCTACTGTACCTGCTCACCAGGAAGGAACCCCCTTGGCAACCAGGTCTATTTCCAAAAAAAAAAAAAAAAAAAAAAAAAAAAAAAAAAAAACATATAACAAAAAGATGAACATGAAAAAAGAAAATATAACTGCTTGGAATCGCCCAGCAGACTGCTTGGACCTGCTGATGTGGTATTCTTAAATGTTAGAAATTGAGAAAAGTATTTCTTTTATTCTTTTATCCTTTTTCTCTTTTCTTTTTCTAAGAAATAACCCTATATACTCAATCACATTTACATTTACATGTGCATGCAGGTTCATGCAGACTAAACTAGTGGATTTTCCAAGATCTGATCTAATTTAGT